ATGCTCGACCTTATGCTTCTAAAAATTAAGCTCTGGTAGCAATATGGAGACCTGACTGGCAGAGAGGACAACCTGAAACAAAATAGTAAGGATGCTATTCCAGCAATCGAGGAGCAGAACTGAGCTGTGGGAATAAAATGGCAGTAAGAGAGACAGTATGGAGACAGAACCTCCAGGTTTTCAGTGAGAGAGTGGTAGGGTCCAGGTTCTCTCTTGGCTGCTGGATGGATAACAGCACCCTTTTTCAAGGTGAGGAATATCACTGGAAGGACAGACTTTGGAATAAAGATAGCATTTAGTTTTAAAAGCTGTCGAAGTGGAGATATCTGGTAGGAAACTGGGTGTCTGTGTGTCTCAGGGGACATGTTAGGACTGAGTATGTAGATTTGTAAGTCATCATGTTGGTGCCGACTGGAGCCTGGGGAACAGATACATCATCCAGGTCTACCATGTAGAGTTAAAAGAGAAATAAGTGAAGAGTACAACCTTGCAGACTCATCAATATTGGAGCAGAAAAGAAGAGTCTGGTGGGCACAACCCACCCCGTGTTTCTGAGTGGGGTTTCCCAGCAGTGTGAGATTTCAAGAACATCCATGGGTAGGTAGGTAACTGGAAAAGAGAGGCGAGAACACCGAGTAGATTTGAGGGCAGCAAGAGCTGATCTTGCTTGTCAAGTGCAGCGCAGAGGTGGAGCAGGATAAGAATTAGAATGGGTCGTTTGGGCCTTATAGCTGGGAGATCACTGGTGACCCTCGACAGGGCGTTTTCTGAGCAGTGTGGGGAAAGGAGCCTGTTGCACTAGGTGGAAGACAGGTGCCGGACTATCCGAGCAAGGACAGGTGCAGTGAGGGGTGGCTGTACTCACCAGACAGCTTGGAACAGAAGTGCTCTGCCCCTAGGTGAGAAGTTGAGCCAGTCATTTAACCTTTCCCCTTGTTGGCTTCCAGTCTGTAAGATGAGGAGGACTGGACTATTTCTAGTTATCTTCCAGCTGCATAATTTCAATGACTTACGGAGTCAATGGATGGATGGTTGGACAATTGGATGTGAGAAGGGACTGAGATGCCACTGACTTCTAAACTCATTTGAGACCTATTAAAAATCGAATTTATAAGGATTAGCTACGCATTAGGGTAGTTTCCAAAGTATCTATTAATTTCAACCAAAAATCTAGACCAATAAGCAGACGGTAACCCAACATTTCCTAAGACCTGTTCCACGAACACCAGCTCAGTAAAATGTAATAGGTATTAGATAAAACTTTTAAGAAATGATTTTTGGTCAAATAAATTTGGGAAACAGAGTCTTAACTAAATCAATTTTTTTTCTTCCAAGGTTTTATTTAAATTCAAGTTAGTTAACATATAGTGTAGTATTGATTTCAGGTATACAATGGAATATTACTCAGCCATCAAAAATAACGAAGTCTTTCCATTTGCAACCATGTAGATGGAACTAGAATGTATTATGCTCATTTGAAATAAGTCAGTCAAAGAAAGACGAATACACTATGATTTCACGGATATGTGGAATTTAAGAAACAAAACAGATGAACATAGAGGAAGGGAAGGAAAAATAAAATAAGATAAAAACAGAGAAGGAGGTAAACTCAAATTTCTTGTTTTGCTACATAACTTATCAAGTTCTCTACTACAGTAATATGCACTGTGATTTTCTGACACTTATTTGACCACTTTGTTTTCTTTTATTTCATCTTATTATATTCAATTCACAGCATTTCTGGAGACTAACATTCTGATTAGCGTACTTTAGTATACACTGGTCCACTACATTGTCCAAACAATGAAGAAGGAAACTTGATTGATGAGACGATCCCCAAATGACATATCAATTAGACTGTGACCTGTTCGTTGTACATGCTCTTCAGATTCTTCAGAAGTTTCATTGTTTCTTCAACGGCTGTATGAATGCACTGCTTTGTTAACTCAGCAAGCCAAGAGTAGTAGTTAATAGGTTAGCACCTCTGTGGCTGAATGATTTCATTGCAAATCGGGATCACAGCCCAATCCTGGATCCAGTAGCTGAATTCTATCACAGTGAGTGGAGTGATTGCTTTTGCAAACAGCATTCATCTCCTCCCGTGATGTATGTATGCTATGAAATGTGTCTTCGGGGACCAAGAAACACAAAGCTGAGACTGTTGCCTCAAAGTGACTGCAGACTGGGAACTTAATGCAGTCCACAGGTGGGAAAGGCATAAGGCTCTGCTCTGGCTTCCCAGTCTCTGTGCTGTGAGGCAAGATGAAGCTGAGGCCAGACCTAGCATCCTTGTTACCTTTCCTTTAAGAATTCTTTTCCTCTCAACTCCGCTTTGTTGGTGCTCTTCATAAAATGCCACAGTCAACGTGTTTCCCGGGAAAGAGCTATAATAATCTATTCCCCCAAGCCCCCCTGATTAGGACTGGTGGGTCTCTGGAACTTAGCCCTGCACAGCACCAAACAGCCCCTGGAGCCTGGCCTTGTTTCCTGGTCTCTCCCCTGGACCCCTTCTTTCTCCTTCTTTCTTCTTTCTTTTTATTCTTATTTTTGTTTGCACTGTCTGATCACTTTTAAAGTATACAACAAACCTCTCCCTTTTTCCTGAGATAAAATCAATCATTAGATCTCATGCTGTATGTTTCATTTGGGGTGAAGTTTTCTTAATTAAATCCTCTTACCCTTCCCCCAAATGAAAGGGATTTGCCATTTTTAAATACCTCTGCCACAATCATGTCTGTTTCATTTATGGAGGTAAGAGATCTCTTAACTACTCGTGCTTCTCTATTCAGAAGGGTTTAGAGCCATGTATAAAAAAAAGAAGCTTATGTGGGGCATGCCCTATTCCGGACCATTCTTTAAAAAGAAGATGTGAGGATTTTTTTTTTTTGTCCTGGAAGATCCTAGATGGGAAGATTCTTTAGGTAATTAACACTTAACTTTTACATATGCTATAGTGACAAATAAATGGAAACATTCTAAATGTACAGCAGTAGTGGAATAGTTAAATGCTGTCAGATCATGAACATGGTGATGTTTAAAAATAATCAGTTAGGGGCGCCTGGGTGGCGCAGTTGGTTAAGCGTCCGACTTCAGCCAGGTCACGATCTCACGGTCCGTGAGTTCGAGCCCCGCGTCAGGCTCTGGGCTGATGGCTCAGAGCCTGGAGCCTGTTTCCGATTCTTTGTCTCCCTCTCTCTCTGCCCCTCCCCCGTTCATGCTCTGTCTCTCTCTGTCCCAAAAATAAAAAACGTTAAAAAAAAAAAAAATTAAAAAAATAATCAGTGAGTTGATGGGTGCCTGGGTGGATCAGTCGTTTAAGCGTCCGACTTCGGCTCAGGTCATGATCTCGCGGTCCGTGAGGTCAAGCCCCGTGTTGGTCTCTGTGCTGACAGCTTGGAGCCTGGAGCCTGCTTCAGATTCTCTGTCTCCCTCTCTCTCTGACCCTCCCCCTGTTCATGCTCTGTCTCTCTCTCTCTCTGCCAAAAATAAATAAATGTTAAAAAAAATTTTTTTAATCAGTGAGTTGAAAAACTATTAATGATCTATTACAGGAGCTAATCATTTTCAAAACATAGTATGAGCTTAGTGTTGTAACCCGTCACTATGTATGTCTAGAAACAGAGGAAAACTGGAAGGAAAAGCCACGCAGATATACACAGATATACATGCGAGAACCCAGTAGTTGAGAACATAAAATCTGGTCCTAAAGGGAGCTTGAGTATACTTCTGTTCTCTCTCGATCTGTGTTGACTTGAGGGAAGTATGTTTACCTTTTGGAGACTTAGTTGTTGTTGTTTTCATATGTAAAAGGAGGATAAATAATAATACCTATCTCTATATGGTGGTTGGTTGGATGAAATACTATATACCAAGCTCTTAATATAGAGCAATTGCTCAGTTGTAGTAGATATTATTAACAATGCTTTCATTTACCAAAGTGTTAACAACGGTCATTTCTAGGCAATGGGGGTCTTGCTTTTTATTATATTTTATGTTTTTTTTTTTTTTAATGTCTCTTTTTGAGAGTGAGACAAACAGAGCATGAGCGGGGGAGGGGCAGAGAGAGAGGGAGACACAGAATCCGAAGCAGGCTCCAGGGTCTGAGCTGTCAGCACAGAGCCTGATGTGGGGCTCGAACTCATGAACCGTGAGATCATGATCTGAGCCAAAGTCAGACACTTAACCAACTGAGCCACGCAGGCGCCCCACATTTTATGTTTTTATCAAAATATGTAATGCATACAATATAAATGAATAGAGTATGTATTTGATCACGTGCTTAGTTCCTAAACGAGTTTATCTCTGATAAACATTGAATCACTTTCACTTTCATTTGACTTCTATAAAGAAGGCAAAGAGTAGTATCCCTTTGGCACGGAGAAGGAATGCACTGGCCATGGGAAACCCCCCAGTGAATACAGTTTGTTGGTGTCAGGCTTTACACTTGAACTCAGATCTTCCAATTCTAAGTTCGCTGTCCGTTCTCCAAGGTTGGAGGAAGAAACATATTAGATCTACCTTTCTTGGAACAGTATGGAAAACAAAATCAACTAAGTATTCAAAATAATGAAGAGGTCCTGCATTCAAGGACTGCTTTAACATTTTCTCTTTTTCTCTCTAGCTTTGATTTACGTCTAAGGTAAACTATCTCCCAGCTGCTAGTATGTGCTTCAGCTAGATTGCAGACACCTGTATCTGTGCTGCACATGTGGCTTATTTAATAACAATATGGATCATTAGCATGTTTTAGGAGTGAGAATTGGGTTAGGATCCTTTATAGTATTTCAGAAACTCCAGTGAAATCGTGGAACATTCCTGAATCTTAGTACATTATATAAGATTCTGAGATAGAGGCAAAGCTTTCCAGTCCCTTCTAGGCAGAAACTGAGGATCCCTTTTCTAAAACTCATTAAGAAGATTCAGAAATACTTTAAGATAGTGTAACCATAGAAATAGAAAAACAACTAAATTTCCTCCCTCTTTTTTTTTTCCCTCCGTAGCTTAAAGGGAGCTGATGCCGGCAATGGGATCAGAGTGTTTGTGCCTGATATCGGGATGTTCATTGCTAGTCTGACCATCTGGCTCGTCTGCAGGAACATCGTTCAGAAACCCGTGACCGAAGAAGGAGCACAGTATAACTCGGAGTTTGAAAATGAAGAATTGGTAAATCTGACGTCCTGCATCCCTCTTCCTTCTTTGATTTCTGAGAGCCTTGACCCTTAATAAGTTGTGGAGAAGTGAAATGTGCATAGCACTTAGGCTCTGCAGAGCTTGGCTTAAATGTTCACAGTTACTTTGCACAACCCTCCCTCCCCCGGTGTAGTTCTGATGGGTAGGCAGTCTCCTCCACACCTTGGCCACCAGGAGACAGTTCAAGGAGTGTGAACACTGCCATTCATGAGGCATTCACCCCAACCCAGTGTTCTTTTTACTCTCATCTAATATTATCTCTGATGGTTAACCTTTTAAATTCATTATATTGTGGCCCGTTGTCTAGATACCTTAGTCAATACAAAATATTTAGAGAAGTAGCACCTGGTAGTTTTAGGAGAAAAAAAGTAATTCCTTCCTGAAGGGAAGCTTTCTGGTCTGTGTACTTTGCTCTTCAGAGAAGAATTGTGTTCAGAGCATGCTTTGATCATTATTTTAAAGCAATCCGGGGCGGGGGGTGGGGGAGGAATACACACACACACACACACACACACACACACCCTTTGGAAAAGTATAAGAATTGGAAAAAGGTAAAAATAATGAGGAAAATGTATGTTAATTTTTATCTATGTGTTTTAGTAGAAAGAGTTTCAGGAGGAGCAGGGAGCACATCAGATCTCACTCCGTGTATGAGAGCAAGTTGGACAGCTCGTCACTGTCCCCAGATCTGTTTCAGAATGTTGCTCTGTTCTAACACTGTACTTTGTTATGTGAGTTTCAGTGACGTTGATTTAAAAAGTAATTGATTTGGTAATTGAAAGATGAAATTTGCAAAGGAAAAAATATTGAAAAGACTTACTCTGGACATTTGACACAAGAGACACAACTAGCAAATGTTTTTACTCAGAAGTTGGGCAAGAACTTTCACCTGCAAAACTGGGGTGAATTGAAATCAGTTATTTTGAGAATGATAATCACAAGGGCATCAGGGAAGACAATTCTCAGTTATAGCAAATGACTTACTTATGTGCCTCAAAAATAGGTAGCAAATTGCCTTGTATGGTTATTTAAAAAAAACAATAAAGAAAGCGAAGATATAATTCAATAAATCCATACAGACTAGAAATGATATTACTACCTAAAATCATTATGGGTAAAAAATAAATGATCACATTGTATATCAATATTCTGCTTTTTTAAAGGCAGACGTTAACAAGTACTTGGTGTAAAAAGCAATTATAGCAAGATAGCAACTAACCTTATCTTTCATTTATGTCTACAAACTCTGTAGGACTTATCAGTGTCTTAAAAATGGGTAAAACTATGAAAGTGCCTTTTCTTCTTGTTGGCTTCACAATTTTAAAGCAGAACTTAAATTTTAATTTCTACTTTTACATTTGAATTTTATTTATAATAGTTACAGTTTTGAAAATAATCTGGCTTTGATAATTACTGCCCAAAATTGTCCAAGTTTGGTGAAAGTAAACCCAGGAACTTGAGCTCTCCAGACTTAGGATTTTTCATTACTATTATTTATAAAAGCAAGACTGGTTTTCCGTTATCCTCATATTACGGATAGAGGGTAAAGGATGCTTATTGCAAATTGAGTGGACTCAGAAGGCAGACTTGGAAGCTACCTAACAGTGTTAGTGTGATGTCGAGAAATGTGTTTATTCTCTTTCTTCTGCAAAATGAGGATGATCATAATCCTACGTCGTAGAGTTGCTGCAACCACTAAATGAAATGTCAAATAAAACACACCTAGGGCAGCGCCTGCTCATTGGGCTGCTTAATAAGATGCTACTTGCTCTCCACATCCTGCTCTTCTCCAATTGGAAAGTTACTGGAGCAGTTTCAAATTCCGAGTCCTCTTAGAATGATAGAAAGTTAAGCTGGGCGGTGTGTTTGAGGCCAACCTACTCAGTAAGAGTCTCTTATTCGTCACTGAGCCATAAATGAATCACAGAGCTTCTTAGGAAAAGAACTTCTGTCACCGAGGACAAACGCTCTTTTGCCATAGGACTAAGAAAGCCTACATTGACTGATGGAAGGTCATGGATATCAGGTTATGGTTGAGGTCACACATCTGGTGAAGAAGAGAACACAAAACCATCACATGAATTAATTCTAAAATCATGTTTCCTTCCTGATTTCTCACAGCTCTCAAAGATACACTCAGGATACCTCTCTCCTGTTTAAAATTTGTTTAAATATCTGTACTCCCTATATTATCAATCACATTATTTAAAAATTACAATAAATTGGGGCACCTGGGTGTCTCAGTCGGTTAAGCGTCCAACTTCGGCTCAGGTCATGATCTCACGTTCTGTGAGTTCGAGCCCCGCGTCGGGATCTGTGCTGACAGCTCAGAGCCTGGAGCCTGCTTCAGATTCTGTATCTCTGTCTCTCTCTGCCCCTCCCCTGTGCTCTCTCTCTCTCTCTCTCAAAAATAAATAATAAATATTAAAAAATTTAAAATAACAATAAATTGATAGACATTCTATATTACTTATTTGGGGATTTGAAAATACTAAATATTATTATGAGGTCGATTTCTTTCTCATTTACATTTGTTTTGGCCTCCTTTAGATATTAATTTCCATCCTCTTAGCACATTCCAGCCCACCAGGTGGCCAGGGAGAAGCAGGCTGGTGTGTGAATCTTCTGAGACGAATCCACAAGGAAATATTTCTAACATGTGAACAATCTTGCTCAAGTCTGAAAAGAATAGAAACACACGGCCAAAATAAGTAGGGAAGTTATTTTGTTTTGGAAGGTCCCAACATATTTCTTCCCTTTTATAAATCTTGACATTTGCACCAATGTTTGTTTTTTGAGGATCCTTTGAAAAAATAGTGCTGCGGGCATTTCTTCTCCTTTCATTTATCTCAATAGAGAAACGGCGAGATTAATCCATTGGTGCCTGAGAGACTTTTTTTCAAATCCAGCATTGTTTTAAACTAGCAACTAATCTCTGGAGAAGACTCCTGCGTCTTTCGTAACCTTCCTCGACTGGATAGCGAGGCTCAAGTTTGGTGTTTTAAAGGGCATCGCAAATCCCAGAATTCCCCCCAGAAATCCCCAGGGGAAGTCAGTGGGTGGGAGAACCTGTTTCCCTTTTGCATTGTACAGAGAACAGACCTCAGTAAGGGAGCCAACTCCTCAAGTACCAGGAAGGTTCTCTTTAACTGACACATCTGTGGGCTTGTTTACCTGTTCATTGTAACTCAGAAGCACATCTACAAATCCTAACTGGGAGAAAGTTTCCTAATCTTAAATCTTAAAAAACAAAAAAAAAAAAGTTATGTTATGAAAATTAAATTGTGTAGAAAAGGGCTTCCTGCTCAAACACTTCGTAATTTCACCAAACTGCTATTATCTTGTGTATTTCTGTAAAACTAGCTCTTTCTATTTAATGAGATTTCAGGCTTTATTTTTTTGGGAAACAAATAGTATTTTTTTTTTTTTTAATTTTTTTTTCAACGTTTTTATTTATTTTTGCGACAGAGAGAGACAGAGCATGAACGGGGGAGGGGCAGAGAGAGAGGGAGACACAGAATCGGAAACAGGCTCCAGGCTCTGAGCCATCAGCCCAGAGCCTGACGCGGGGCTCGAACTCGCGGACGGCAAGATCGTGACCTGGCTGAAGTCGGACGCTTAACCGACTGCGCCACCCAGGCGCCCCACAAATAGTATTTTAATATATTATGAAAACAAATTTATGATAAACTAAATGTTTATTCAAATAGGAATTTTAGTCATGACTTGGTCTGGTTAAATAGTCTGACAAATCAAATGTGAAGCATAAAAAAGAATATTTCAGGGGCACCTGTGTGGTTCAGTTGGTTGAACATCTGACTCTTGATTTCTGCTCAGGTCATGATCCCAGGGTCATGGGATCAAGCCTTGCACTGGGCTCCACGCAAGCGTGGAGACTGCTTGAGATTGTCTCTCTCTCTTCCTCTGCCCCTCTCTCCTGCTTGCGTGCTCTGTCTCTAAAACAGCTTTTTTTTAAATATAATTTAAAAAAAAAAAGAATATTTCAGTGTAAGTCATCTGCCATCTGTTAAAAGTTTGGGGATTCAACATTTGGATCCTGCTAACGTTATCTGGAAATTCATTCTGAGCCTCAAAACCTGTGCCCTCCTTTCTAAAATCTAACGTGAACCAGGCTCCTGTGGCATCCACATTCTGGCACATAAAATGACCAGTGGGGGCTATGCCTCAAGTTTCAGCTTTGAGGTTCAAGTTACTATTTTTTTTTTTTTTGGAAGAACAACAACAACCAAAAAGAATGAAAGAAACCCATCGTTTTGTTGTCACCTTCTCAATAAGCATTCAGCATCTCCCCTGAGATGTAGTCCAAGATCACTTGCTTTAAGTGATCAGATTTAAGACAGATCACTGTCTTTTCAGGTCTTTCCAGTGGCATTTGGAATGTTAGCAAGTGGGGACAACTGCTTCCCCCCGCCAAAATGCAGCACGCTTGGTCTGCCTTCTCTGGGTTAAACACATTTACAACTTGGGGGAACCTTAATGGTGGTGATTTTAGATGCCATTCGTTTAAATAAAGAGAAAGTTTTTAACTGGAGGAAACCATTGGCCTGTTGTCTTCAGAAAGCTCCAGGAGAGCTCAGTATTACAGTCTGAGCAACAAAGTATCACAGGGACAAGTTAACTTCAGATCCCTGACTAAATTTACCCCCCACTGTCTTCCAGATACATCTTCCTGGACACCAGGTGAGAGCATGAGGTCCCTCTCATCCTTTCCTCTGATAGAAACACACGTGGGGAGCATACCCATGTGACAGTCAGAGGCGTCCTTATCCCATAGAAAGGCAGGGACATTCTATTATTGACAGTATGTTAATTGAGTGAACTTTGTCTAGACTGGACTTGACTATGTGACTGATAGTAAAAATAAAAGAAGAATCAGCAGTTAGGAAGGGAGCTCAAATATTTTTAAATTATTAAAATCAAATGATTTCAAATTAAATACATCTTCATTTCTC